GAGTTAAAATAGGATAAAATTTTAAATTTGGGTAAGCTGTCACACTTGCTGTGTTCAGCACTCAGGAGGCGTGTGGCTTGCAGCTTCCGTTCTGCCTGGCACAGGCCTCATTTCAGGTACAGGGGACGTGGGCCAGCTGCTTGGGCCAGCAAAGGTGCCGCCTGGCATGTCCGCAGCCCATGCTGGCGTGCCTGGCTCCAGTCCTGGCTCCTGTACTTCTGGTCTACTTCCTGCTCATGTGCACCCTGGCAGGCATCATCTGATGGCTAACTCACGCCCCTGCCTCGCTTGTGGGGGACCCAGATGGAGCTCCAGATCCCGTCTTTGACCTGGTCAAGCCTAACCGTCACATGCACTTGGTGGAGTGACCCAATTGGTGGATGCAACACTTCCTTCCGTCTCTCTTTCTACTAAAAGGAAAGTAGCCATCCTGCTCTTTTCACCTCATTTTAAATCTTATTTTTGGCTCTTTTAAGGATCAGAAGTTTGTGCTTAACATTTTGTAGTGTTTTGTAGTGTTCAGTGACATGATGAGGTCTTCTAAGTTGGTAAGTCTCAGTTTATTTTCTGAGAAGGAAAGCCTAGGTCAGTGCAGATTAAGCTTCTGCCTGCAGTGCCGGCACACCATATGGATTCCAGACCCACCTGGCTGCTTCACTTCTAATTCAGCTCCCTGCTAATGTGCCTGCGGACGTAGTGGAAGACGGCCCTAGTCCTTGGAGCCTGGTACCCATTGGGAGATGCAGAAGCAGCTCCTGGTTGCTGGCCCAGCCCCGGCCACTGCGGCCATCTGGGAAGTGAACTGATGGAAGATCCTGCCTCTCCTTCTCTCTCCGCAAGTCTTCCTTTCAAATAAAACTAAATTAAAAAAAAAAATGTAAAGGATGGGTCTGTTTCCCTTCGCATTAGTTGTTAGGGATTTCCTGAAGATTTTCATAAGTCTGATTTTTTGAGTCTACTACTTAACTATTTTGTTTAGAATTTTAGGTTTTTGTTCAGTCCCTGAGGGAAAAGCTTAAGACATGGCTTTGTGTAGTGTGTGACGTTTTTGCTTACTTTCAGGAGCATTCCTTGAGTCTGAAGAACTAGGTATTAAACGGCCTGCTAGGTTTGTTTTATTCATTTTGTTGCTACGTGAGTAGAACCGACACTGTGAGCTAACTGCCACAGACTGGGTAGTCCAGAACACGAAGGACCACAAATGAGAGACTCATTCATTCAATGCAAATAAATACTGATTTCTGTGGCAAATTTGTCTTTTCCTGGTTAAGAAAATCCTTGATTCAAGTGCTAAACTTGACTCTACATCACCAGATTCAAAGTCAGTTTCTTGAGGTCTACGTTCTGATAGTTGTAAAGAAACATTCAATGATGTAACTGTCGTGGCCTTGGGAAGATCTTGTCAAAGTCATTCTTTATATCAGACGCAAAATGCAGAAGGATGCAGGGATTGAAAGTTTCCATAAAAATCAAACGGGGGGTTGGGCCCGGCGCGGTGGCGCAAGTGGTTAAAGGTCCTCGCCTAGCACGCCCGGGATCCCATATGGGCGCCGGTTCTAATCCCGGCAGCCCCGCTTCCCTTCCAGCTCCCTGCCTGTGGCCTGGGAAAGCAGTCGAGGACGGCCCAAAGCTTTGGGGCCCTGCACCCGCGTGGGAGACCCGGAAGAGGCTCCTGGCTTCGGATCGGCATAGTATCGGCCCGTTGCGCTCACTTGGGGAGTGAATCATCGGACGGAAGATCTTCCTCTCTGTCTCTCCTCTCTGTATATCCGCCTTTCCAATGAAAAAAAAAAAAAATAATAAAAATAAATCTTTAAAAAAAAAAAAAAAAATCAAACGGGGTACGGAGGTGGGAGGAAGGCCGGCTGCAGGTCTGAGAGCCAATGGCCCAGTAGCTTTTGAGAGCTTTCTGAGGCCCCAGTGCACTAATGGAAATTGACTGTTGGCTACCTCAGTGCTTCTTCTCCCCCACGATTTTTCTAGAGCCCCTTTGAAATGTGTTTTGATTTGCCAGGAATTTCCCATGTTACCTGATTTAACACACACTAACCCTCAACTGATTCGTATAAATGTGTTCGTAATACTTTTTATTTGTACTTTTAATCTATATGATCAGTGTTTTTTAGTTTCAAGATTTGTTTGGCAGAATGTTCTCCTTCAAAGTTGGTTTTTGCTCTTATCATCATTACATTCCTCCGATTTCCTACTTTGGATTTTTCTAACTTCTGGTGTGCTGATCTGAGCATTTCTTCTTTTCCGTTATGCCTACATGTGTAAGACTAAAAACTTGCTTGACTTTTGTTGCATTTTCTAAATTCTGATACTAATGTTATCACAATTATTTTTCTTTTGACTCCACCAAATGAGCTGTTCTAAGAGCTAATTTTAAAGTATTCTAGCTAATTTCCTTTGCATCCTGGTGCAAGGAGGAACATGAAGAATCTCGTAATGACAGGCTTATAAACCTCATGGGGTTGAGTTGATGCACTGACACAGGGAGCCGCCCCCTTGTCCCTGTCATCAAGTGATGTAGCCACGAAATCAACATTTTTTAAGCCATCACACATTGTCCCAACATTTTTTTAAGCCAACTGGCAGCCTTTTGGGTCACTTGGTAAGTGGGCTGCAGTAATCCCCTTAAGAGATGCAAGTTGCCTTTAAAAACCGGAGGCCTGCCACTAAGCATTCCAGTTCTTTCCTGGTAATAAAAGTAGCCAGATCCACCTCATTCTACCCCTTAGGAGGGATAACTCAACGTGCTCCTTACCACCAGATCCCTACAAGTTTCCCAAGGCAGGTCGCTGTGTTTTGTTTGCTACATGCTGCCATGCAAGTGTGTCACCTGTGCTGCAGGTCTGCCATGCTGGTCACTCTTTGCTCATTTGGTCCAGTCGGCAGAGTGCCCCCAACTGAATTCGTTAGTGTTGTAACTTGCAGAAGGGAAGATGATAAAGATCTCCTGAAGCAAGTTATGACAAAGGGATGGAGGGTTTTTATACACCAGTCTCGGGGTTTAGACCTGCCAGCAGGCCCCGAGGTCACCCAGAGTGAGGCAGACCGTGGCCTTCGGCTGCAAGAACCGCCGGAAACAAGATGGTGAGGAATGTCTGCTTTATTGCACCGATTACCGGTTTTAAAGGCTAAGGAAGGGGCGGGCAGGAGGGAACCTTCCGGCAGACCCCACGCCCACCAAAGACGCTGTCATTGGCTGTATGACACGTCTGTCTCCCTAGATCTTCCTGTGGTGTCAGAGGTCAGGTTCCAGGTGTACTTCCATTGACCTTCTAGCCATGTTGGAGGTCACACTCCATGTGTAGGCCTGAAGGCTGTGCCTTGGGCCACGGGGAAGGTTAGGCTTAAGCCACGCCCTCCAGGCAGCAGGGCAGGGGGTCTGGGTGATCACCCACACACCAGAGGGTAGAACAATGAAGTATTACAGCCTTGCCAGCTGAAAGCAAGCTGCCTCTTGGGTGTTTTCTGGATAAGTGTGGAGGGAAAGACATTTGCCAGCCAGTAGCTGCCTAGCAGACATGAAGGGATGTTTTAAAATTGCTCAATGAAATCACTTGTACAGTCACCACTTGGTTAAGCGCATAGTAATCCTCTCACTAACATTATTGTACAAGTAAAAAATGCCACCACAAAAGTAAAAAGTAAGCATTTTAGTGCTTAACAGCCATGCCCCACAATACAGTGCCTTACTTCTGAGTCCTGTTCAAATAAACAGAATCTATATATCCATCTAGACAACACACATTCCTCCATTGCTATCATTGCCTTTTCAATACATTTTTTAAAGATTTATGAATTCATTGAGTTAGAGAGAGACAGACAGACAGACATCCTCCCTGCACTGGTTCACTCTCCAAACGGCCCCAATCTCAGGGCTTGGCAAACCAAAGCCAGGATCCCATGTGGGTGAAGGGGCCCACTGCACCACTGCGCCCACACACCTACCTTCTCCATTGGTGGAAACAGTAAAATTTGAAATAAGCAGTTTTTGATGCAAAAATGTTTTGAAGTCCACGTATAGTTTCTTCATTATACATCCTTTCCATGAAATTTCCAAAAACCAACTTGGATAGGATGGTACCGATCTGCTGCTTGCCCGTTCATTCGGCAGCAGATCCTGGACCCCCGGCTCGGTCCAGTGCAGCAGGAGTGTCTCATGCTTTACCCCGCTGGCTCAGTCTACTTTAACAGGACAGTGCTTAATACTTTAACAATCAACGACTAGATGCACGGTTCCTCCTGTTAGCTTCCACCCGGATGGACACTGACTCCGTCACTTTGCGCTGTATAATGCTGAAATCAGAGTGGGTGATACCTGCACTGAAGCAACATGCTCGACCCATCACATCCCCTCCACATGCTCGGGTACAAGTCCTGAATTGTTTCCAATCTGATTTCCTGCCATTGCAGACCTTGGCAAACAGCAATGGAGGCTCAACTAGCTCCCTGCACTCACGTGGGAATGTGACTTGTTCCCGGCTCTGGGCTGAGGTCTGGCCCAGTCCTGATCCAGCCTGGGGAGTGAGCCTGCAGGCACATCTCTGCTTCATTTGTCTCAGACTTGCAAAATAAGTAAATGAAGTTAAACAACCTTTCATGCATCGTATAAAAATACTTTTTTATTTACTTGTATTTACATAAACATTTCTACAGTTCTGATTGCCTCGTGAAATGGAATGTCCAACTTTTTTTAAAAAGAGATTTATTTCTTTATTGGAAAGTCATATATACAGAAAGGAGGAGAGACAGAGAGGAAGATCTTCCGTCCGATGATTCACTCCCCAAGTGACCACAACGGCCGATGCTATGCCGATCCGAAGCCAGGATCCAGGAACTTCATCCGGGTCTCCCACACAGGTGCAGGGTCCCAAGGCTTTGGGCCGTCCTCGACTGCTTTCCCAGGCCACAAGCAGGGAGCTGGATGGGAAGTGGAGCTGCTGGGATTAGAACCGGCGCCCATATGGGATCCTGGCGCGTTCAAGGCAAGGACTTTAGCTGCTAGGCCATGCCACTGGGCTCCCACTTCTTATTTGTGATGAATTTCTGCTAAAATTCATTCTTAGTCAAGGAATAGTTTTAGTTTCAAAATGCAAAGAATGCACTAGCTCTCAGCAGTTCTCGGCATACAGGTCTATCACGACTTGGTGAACTTGAGGACTGAAAGGACTTCCTGGCCTGCTTGTCTAGAAAGTGCAATGGTCCCATGGAGACCTTTTGTCTTCATAGTTTTCAAAATATCTTCTGAAATGAAAATCAAAATGAAAGGGAAAAATCAAATTAGTTGGTGTATATGGCTACTAAATACTAACAGGATAATAAACACAGATTATTTTTTAAAAAGATTTATCTTTTTATTGCAAAGTCAGACATACAGAGAGGAGAGACAGAGAGGAAGATCCTCCCTCCGATGATTCACTCCCCAAGTGACTGCAGCGGCTGGAGCTGAGCCAGTCCGAAGCCAGCAGCCTGGAACTTCTTCCAGGTCTCTTTTTGCAGGCTCAGGATCTCAAGGCTTCGGGCCATCCTCTGCTTTCCCAGGCCACAGGCAGGGAGCTGGATGGGAAGCCAGATGCCAGGATTACAACCAGCACCCAAATGGGATCCTGGTGTGTTCAAGGCGAGGACTTTAGCTGCCAGGCCACTGCGCCGGGCCCATAAGCACAGATTATTTACAACTTCCTCAGACAAAGTGATCTACACCAAGGACTCCACATGGATAAAGTGAATGTGTATGAAGAGTCTGCCTGCAATTCAGAGCACTCCGTATTTTGAGAACACTGCTCAGGATTCTTACGAGGAGTGGCCCGGTGCAGACTCACCAGAAGCAGCGCTTACACTTGGTGCTTCAGCAAGTGCTCAGCTTTTCAGCTGCCTGGCTACTCTTTCTGTCCTGTGTCCTTTCTTCTGGATGAAGAATGTCAATGAAGGAATGAACAAACAATACTGATAACTGTATGCCGAGAATAAAGAAGTAATGCTTGTTTCAGGTATATTAAAAAAGCAAAACTTTAAATAAATACAGCCTAAAAGACTAAAAGAATGGCATTACTAAAAAATAAAACTGGTACTGATGTGACTTGAGGGGCTGAAGATGAGATAAAAATCAAACTTGATGTATATGAAAAGAGGAAAGATTATGATTAATTACAAAGTTATCTGAAAATGAAGATTAAAAAAACCCAAACACTTCAGATGAACTAAAGAATACTGCCGGGTAGAGAGAATTCACAGTATTATTGGGTGAAGGGTTAGAAGGAATAACAGATTTTGTATTGCAGTATTTGCTAATGACCGAGACCAACGCTGGGCATGTGACTGGGTAGATTACTATCGCAGGCTCTGCACAAATTAACGTCTTCGACATTATCTTTTGATTTTAGTGAAACAAACTGGTAAACAATCAACTAGTTGGAATTACCTGGATTATTTTCTTTGATGGTTACTAAGTAGAAAGATCCTCCTGGTGACAGCAGCTCCGAAGCCACAGGAAAAAATCTGTCCATGACTTCTCGGCCACTTCTGCCACCGGCCCACGCTGCCTCTATTCCGTGACTCCCCACCTGCGGCCAATGAGAGAATGTCTTCTACGACTCAAGTCCAGCGCCATTCAGATCACGAGCTGGGCCTTTCTGATTGATAACAAGTAACATCCCAAACATGTATACATTCTGTAGTGCTGCCAAAGAGGCAAGGCAAAATTGCAATTCTACCGTTTCCTGGTTTATGTGACTGTGGGTAGAGTTTTGTGAATTGGAAAAAATAGTTCCATCTGTATAATTAGGAAAGTAATTAAAATTTTTTTTTGCTCACTGTTAGGAGTAAATGAGGAAGTCCACAACTTTTTAGAAAACTTTGCCCTTCATATTAGTAATAATAGATTATGAACAGTATTAAAAAAAATTTATTTTTCTTGGAAAGACTCCCCAGATGGCCGCAACATCTGGGGCAGAAAGGATCTGAAGCCAGGAGCTTCTTCTGGGTCTCCGATGCAGGTGCCGGGTTCCAAGGCTTTAGGCCATCCTCTACTGCCTTCCCAGGCCACAAGCAGGGAGCTGGATGGGAACTGGAGCAGCTGGGATATGAACTGGTGTCTGTATGGGATCCCAGGTGTGCAAGGAGAGGATTCAGCCACTGAGCCATTGCACTGAGCCCGAGAAAAAACATTTTTTTAAAAGACTTGTTTATTTTTATTGAAAAGTCAGATATACAGAGAGGAGGAGAGACAGAAAGGAAGATCTTCTGTCTGATGATTCACTCCCCAAGGGACCACAACGGACAATCCCAAGCCAGGATCCAGGAACTTCTTCCGGGTTTCCCATGCAGGTACAGAGTCCCAAGGCTTTGGGCCGTCCTCGACTGCTTTCCCAGGCCACAAGCAGGGAGCTGGATGGGAAGTGGAGCGGCCGGGATTAGAACCGGCGCCCATATGGGATCCTGGCGCATTCAAGGTGAGTACTTTAGCCACTATGCTATCGTGCTGGGCCCATGAGGATCTTAGGTCTTGTTTCTGGATACACTAGTTCGCATAGCCACCACTTCTTATAAGCACAAATTCTAATTAGTTGCAGTATGTCTCCTGGTTCTGTAATTCTGTTAGGCTTTACCTTTGTTCTGTTGATCTTCATGCCTCCTCACTAAAAACAAGTTTTCAAAAAGTTCATGAAAAATGCGTGCTATGAAAAAGTGATACATAGCAGAAAATCAGAGACAGATGGAGGCCCATTGTGAAGGCTCAATGGCAAATCTCCCCTTGAAAGTGCCCGGCTCCCATGGGGTGCTGGTTTGTGCCCCAGCTGCTCCACTTCTCATCCAGCTCTCTGTTTATGGTCTAGGAAAACAGTAGGGACCCTGCACCCATGTGGGAGACCCAGAAGAAGCTGCCGGCTTCACATCAGACCAGTTGAACTCTGGCAGCTGCGGCCATTTGGGGAGTAAACCAGTAGATGCAAGAGTTTTCTGTCTCTCCTTCAATTTGTAATCTTACCTGCCTTTCCAATAAAAATTAAAAAAAAATTTCTTTTTAAAGAGACAGATGGACAACTCTATCTGGTTCACGCCCCAAATGCCCATGGCTGCTTGGGCTGGGCCAGGGTCCAGTCTGGGAACCAGAAACTCAGTCCAGGTCCCGCATGTGGATGCCAGGAATGGAATTACTCAAACCATCACCACTGTCTCGTAGGGCTTCTATCTGAGGAAACTGAAGTCAGGAGCCAGAGATGAGCAGTCAACCCAGGAACTTCTACATGGGGAAACGGGCATCTTAACTAGTAAGCCAAATGTCTACACCTAAATTTATCTTTAAATCTGACTTATCCACGAACCTTTGGAAGTACTCTCATATTTCCTTGATTTGGTTTCCAGACCAATGGTACAGGTCTTGACTGACTATATCCACTTTTAACTCACTTCCTATTGGGCTGCAGCACATCTATGCTGTGTTGTATTTTGAGCCTCACCTCTAGCTAACTGCTCAGCACGTGGACACTGCCTGCACTGCGTCATCGCCAAGTTCCAGCAGCTGGAGGAGTCAGAGGCACAGGACCAGGAAAGGGGGTTAGAAGAGGGACCCCTGGGGCCACCATGTCCCCACTATCTTCTCTTCATCCACCTCTCTTCTCAGTAGTTAGTAGAAATGACAGACCATGATTTACCGTTCTTGTTACACAATTAAGTTCACATCATTTACTATCACAAATACGGTTGAATGGCTTTCTTAAATTTTCTCACAGCAACTGAGATTATTAGACTGAAATATTGTCACTGTTTTTCTTTTTTTAAGATGTACTTATTTATTTTAAAAGTAGAGTAGAGAAAAGATACAGAGAAAGATACTTTTTAGTCACTTGTTCACTCCCCAAATGTCCACAATGGCCAGATCTGGTCCAGGCCAGAGCCAGGAGCAAGGAGCTTCACCCCGGTCTCCCACGTGCCCAACAAGGACCGCAGCACTTGGGCTGTGTGCCGCTGCTCTCCCAGGCGCACTGGCAGGGAGCCGGATCAGAAGCGGAGGCCCTGTAACCAGCACCCCTGGTGCTGGACGCACCGTTGAGGCGGACCTGCAGAAAGCTTTCCCAGAGCGCTTCTACGATTCAGTGCCCTGATCCTCTGTGGCACAAGAGCAACCACTTACCTGTTACTGGCAGTAATAGCAGCCAAACAGGCTTTAGGGTTTAAATTCCATAAATTCCATTATGGACAACCACAAGTAAAATCAGACAGTTTGTTAGCAGTCACGGACTAATGTCATTTGATTTCTACAAACAAATCAGCCACAATGTCTGATGACTAAATTCTGTTGTCAGCCTTACCTCTTCAGGGGGAGTCACCACATAGGGGGGATTGAACACGAGAAGATCAACTTTCCCCTTCAGTCTCGGTAACAAGCCTTCGACCTGGACACATTCAAAAACAGAGTGTATATCTAGGACATAGTTAGCATAGATTTGAGCACAACTTCATGGCCATATGTGCTAACTTGACATTCATCTCCTATAACCAAGAAAACTGATGAAATGCCAGAGATGTACCTTTATTAGCAGGAAGCCTGGAGGATGACACTTCCTGCTTTCCACTTCTGTAATTACCTGTAAACACGCTGGCTGACAGAATCAGACTGCAAAGTGTTTAAGATACTTGGAAGAGAGATACTGAAATTAAAAAATGTTTCTATTCTGAAAATGTTTCTGCTGGGGACAACCTTATACACAAGAAAAATGTTTTTAAAAAAGCACATTTAGGGCAAATGGCTACTGAAAGAATTCCTTTGAATTAAACACTCTAACAGATCCTGTTTTTTTTGTTTGTTTTTTTTAAGATTTATTTATTTTTACTGGAAAGACAGATATGCAGAGAGGAGGACAGACAGAGAGGAAGATCTTCTATCTGATGATTCACTCCCCAAGTGAGTGCAATGGCTGGTGCTGAGCTGTTCCAAAGCCAGGAGCCCAGATCCTCTTCTGGGTTTCCCACGCAGGTGCAGGGTCCCAGGGCTTTGGGCCGTTCTCGACTGCTTTCCCAGGGCATAAGCAGGGAGCTGGATGGGAAACTGGGCTCCCGGGATTAGAACCAGCACCCATATGGAATCCTGATGAGTGCAAGGCAAGGATTTTAGCTGCTATGCTACCGTGTCAGGTCCAACACCGTGTTTTATTGGATTATTTTATGCCTTCACAGGTATTGTGAACTAAAGACTAATGCATTTATTTGAAAGTCTGAGTTATATGAAGAGGGAAGAGACAGAAACACACATAGGGCAAGAGAGGGAGGCAGACAGGGAGAGATCCTCTACCCTCTGGCTCACTCGCTTCAGCAACAGCCAGGGTCAGGCCGAGCAAACCCAGAAGTCAGGCTTCTTCTGGGTGCTGACACACTTGGGCCGCCCTTTGTTGCTCTCCCAGGCAGATGAGCAGACAGCTGTATCAGAGGTGGAGCAGCTCGTGGCAATAATACGGGACACCAATGCTTCAGGCAGCAGCTTTAACCACTTTACTACCACAGTCATGACCCCAATATTCAAATTCTTATGAGCAGTAGAAACTTCTAGTCATAGGAAAACAACTTATCTCTTTGTCTTAAGTTTTACTAAGCTACAGAATCATTCATAATTTCAAAAAAAAAAAAGAAAGGTTTGTTGTTACCTACGTGAAAGGCAGTAAGAGTGACAGTGACTATTCCATACTCACTCACTCCCCAGTGCCTCCAGCAGCCAGGGCGGGGCCAGGCTACAGCCAGGAACCAGGAATTCCGTTTGGGTGGCAGGGACCCAAGCCTTTGAACCATAAGCCACTGCTTCCTGGGATGCATCAGATGGCGGCTGGACTGGAAGTGGTGCAGCTAGGACTGGAACAAGCACTCAGATACGGGATGCAGGAGTGCAAGCAATGGCATAACCTACTGCACCACAATCTCCACCCATTTAAAAACTTTAACAAGCAGGAAGGCTACTGATCCTCATTAGGGGAAGAATGTTGCAGGGCTAGGACAGAAAGACTTTTGTCTTAAGTCTACCTGGTCTGTGCTGTTATGACTTTTGCTTATAAATAGGCATTTCATATTTATTACTAAAGTAAGAAAACTCATACATTTAAAACAGTCCAAGTGCTTATTCTAAAATATCTTAACAAAAAAGCATGATGTTTACTTGTTAGAAAACAGCAGCACTCTGTAGCTGTCATTTGGCACTTTTCCCATTTTTTTCTGACTCCATTTGCTTCTGTTGGGCAAGTGCGACCACCTGCCATTCTCCTATTTCTTGTTTATCTGACAGACAGAACGACAGCTGAAGAGACAGAGAGCTAGAGAGTTTCCATTCACTAGCTCATGTTCCAAATGCCTGTAAGAGACAGACAGCTGCACCAGACTGAAACCAGGAGCCAGAAGCTCCATCCTCATCTCTCCTATGCTGGGCACGAACCAAAGTACCTGACCTTCAACCACTGCCTTCCAGGAGCAGCAGGCAGCTGGATCAGAAGCACAGTAACCGGGATTTAACCTCAGCCTTGATGCCAGTCCCTTGCCAGTTCCTCTTAACCCGAGCAGTTCAGAGATGGTCTACCCTGATCACACTTCCGCGGTAAGGTCATGACCGTGGTGGAAGTCAGTCACCTCTGTATCCTATTCCTCCCTGGCAGAACACAGTTGAGCGGCAGGCACACAACTCAAACGGATCCAACACAATCATTCAGGGACTTTGGCAAAATAAGATTTAGCCATGCAAACTTGTTATGATCAAGTGAATAAAAGATTATAGACAAATTCGGAAATAAGGGAAAGATGCTAACGTCTTTTGAGTTCCTGGTGCCAGCTGTACCTGAAGCTATCCACTGTTAGTATTTAACACAGTCTGAAGCAGCTGACTACTACTTTTAATTGAAAGATACCATGCGTACAAGTCAATATAAATTTGTTCTAAAAATGTGGAAAGATGGATTACAGTAGTGAAAAATTTATTTTGAATGTAATATCCTATTTAGGGGTCAGAAGCTGACTAATTCATTATTATTATTATTATTATATTTATTACATTGTATTATGTGACACAGTTGTAGGTACTGGGATTCCCCCCACCCATCCCCCCATGACTAATTCATTATTAAAGCTTTTTTAACCTAAAACGTCATGGCCTTAACTTATCTGAGGAATAAATTTATTATTATTTTTCAAAAATTTATTTTATTCTTTATTTGAAAGACAGAGAGAAGGGAAGAGAGAAAGAGAAACATCTTTCATCTAGTGGTTCACTTCCCAAATGGCCTCAATGGGCAATACAGAGCTGTTCCAAAGCCAGGAGCCAAGAGTTTCCTTTGGGTCTCCTTCATGGGCACAGAGTCTCCAGGACTTGGGCCATCCTCCACTGCCAAACAGGGAGCTAGGAGGGAAACGCCTCCTCTGCCACAAACAGGGAGCTCGGAGGGAAGTGGAGCAGCCAAGAAATGAACTGGTGACCATATGAAATGCCAACGCTGTAGGCAGAGGCTTAGTCTATCATGCCATGGCTGTGATTCCACATTGAGTATTATAGGACAAGAACTAATGGCTCACCAAATCCGTAATGATTGCTTGAATATGAACTCGGTTACAGCGTGCTGTCTCCAGTGTACAGGCTGCGGCCTCGGGATTGATGTCAGTGCACCTGCAGAAAAGGAAGGAACGTATATTCTCAAAAGCCTTGTCTTTGATGAACTCAAGGGGTGTTCTAGTAATTCCAAATGGGACAGATCTGGGGAAAAAATCCCAATGCTTTAATAAAGATGAAAAGAATGAAGATCTGCTGTTGATGAAAAAGACTGACATAATCTAAGTGCAAGAATGGAATAATTCACATATATGTGCACCAACAATGGAAGGAATTCTTTAAACTATGGTATGTCCAATGGAGTACTAGGTAAGCAGTAAATTGGAATTTAACATGAATTCTTGATCAGAAAATGTGATACAATACCAAATGAAAAACATGAAAAATATAGGGCCACACATTGTAAAATTTTACTAGTGATTTAAATTTTTCTCCTGTTTTTTTTAATTTTTCTCTATTCTAAAATTTTCTATCAAAATTTTTACTTATTTTTTAAAGATTCATTTTACTGGAAAGCCAGATTTACAGAGTAAAGGAGAGAAAGAAAGATCTTCCATCTGCTGATTTCACTCCCCCAGTGCTCTCAGAATGGCCAGAGCTGAGCTGATCAGAAGCCAGGAGCCAGGAGCTTATTCTGGGTCTCCCACGTGGGTGCAGGGTGCCAAGGTTCTGGGTCATCCTCTGCTGCTTTCCCAGGCCACAAACAGGTGGCTAGATGGGAAGTGGTGCCACTGGAACACAAACCTGCACCCATATGGGATCCCTGCACATGAAAGGCGAAGACTTCAGTTACAAAGCTATCACATCGGGCCCTGCCACCAAAATTTTTCTAAAATTTTCTGATAAAATTATTTACCTGAAACAGTTCCAGAGATGACTTAAAATTACACTGCTCCCACAAAGATGTGTTAGAAATAAAGCTTTGAAGATACAGTTATGTCTAAAGAAAGCCTAGCTTAAAATTGAGGTCCTTAGTATTATGTGCTTACAAAAATGATTTCCTTGAGGCATTCAGAAGATCTGACTGAACCTGACACATTTACTTACATATACAGAGCTCGGGGGCCGATCAGAGAAGCGAGGAATGCAGACACCACACCGGACCCGGACCCTACTTCCAGGCATATTTCCACACTGAAAGAAAAAAACCACATAGCATTTCACATCACTTACCTGCAAATACCCAACTGACATTTACAACAACCGTTCTGTGTTCATTTAAAACTGCCTAATTCTGTTTTAAGATACATTTGTTTGAAAAGCAGAGTTAAAGAGCATGTTTCTGTGCACCAGGTCACTCTCCAAATGACTGAGATGGCCAGGGCCGAGCCAGGTGAAGTCTGGAGTCTGGAACTCCACTTAGGTCTGTAGTGCAGGTGGCAGGGCCCCAGGCACTTGGGTTACCTCCTGCTGCTTTCCAGGTGCTACTGTAGGAAGCTGGATCCGAAATGGAGCAGTCAGACCTCAAACTAGGTTCTTATGGTATCCTGGTATTGCAAAAGGTGGCTTAACATGATATAACCGCAACATCGGCACCTGTTGCCTGATTCAAAATCACTAAAATAATGGATTTGTATTGTATTCCAAGCTCATAAAATGGTTACATACCATAATAGGTGGCTTTCCAAAAAAATTTCAGCATAAGAAAGATGGAATTATGTTAACCTAAAGTTGGAAATAATATGGAAGATATCCATTTCCGTAAGGAGTTCCTAATTTTTATGATATCCTAAAATGACAGGGTTGGCTGTCATTTTCAAGTACGGAGCATTAATAAGTCTACTTGCACATCCAAAGGGGAAAAGACCCATCATTTTACCCATAACAGAGCAGCACATTCCATATTTCCACAGTTTATAAGCACAACTTTTAAAATACCTGTGTGTAATCTTAGAATGGTGTTGAAATCTTCAATTTTTGCATTTTACTCTTTAGTTGTCTTGCCTATAACGGGATCTAAACTCAAAAACATCAACTGTTCTGTTACAAGGTTCATTTTGATGGCATTTGCCAACACTTCACTATTCCAAAAACTCCCCAGCCACAAAGCCTACAGTTTTCTAACACTGGAGCCTGCCCACACATCTGACAAGTCTTCTGTAAACTTTAACCAGGTGACTTCTCTTACAAAATCAACTTCATGGTCTCACAAGTAATTAGAAAGCCGAGATTGGAAATATCCAAAACTTGTAACAGATTCAGTTCCGTTTATAGAACTTTCTGCAAGGCAATTTGTACTTGTATAAATGGCACGTTCCACACTCTAGTAAATTCCAAACCCCAGTGTCTACAATGAAAACTAGCTTATTATTAACGCGTTAGGTTTCATACCTATAAAATCACGACCCATTGTAAAGATAAGTAAACACAATAAAATCTTTTGAAAGCCAATGGCTGTTTCACTCTGAGAAAACCCAGTTTTGATCTTCAAAGACCCAAATGCCTCTCATTAAAAAATTAAATGTACAATAATTCTTTTTAATGTTACGAAGTGTTATAGCGTGCACTTCAACAAACTAATTCCAGCGACCGTAAAATGCTAAGAGTGGTTTCTATAGGTGCAGCTGCACGTAGCTGAATTTTTACTAAATGAATATTTCAGGGCCTCCGCTGCCCCAGCCGCGCCGCAAGTGCTCTGAGTATGCCTATCCGGTGGATTTAAAAAATACGTTCCCACTCTGCCGTGCCTCAAAGGCCTTTTTTCTTTTTTTCGGGAGCTGCTTTATATTTCGAATTTTGGTACAATTTTGTATAGGCTGGGATTCCCATCCCCCCAAAACCTTCTATTATCGCAGCCTTCCGCTGCTAGAGGGTGTCTGGCTCAATGCCACAGCACCTTATCAGCCATTTTAAAACTCCGCGTTGATAAGAAGCGATGCTTTGGACGTTTGCGCTTCCCAAGGCGTCCTCAGACGAACGGCAGACGGGCAGGGTGAGCGCACACCGCGCGGAGGCGGCGGCTCACAGCGGTCCCCGAGCCTGCCTGCCGCCCTCCAGGACCTCTCCCGCCGGGGCCCTCGCCCTTCTCGCACCCCGCCAGCTCGGCCGCAGCCGCCTCGAGCGCATCCAGCAGCAGGAATGTGTCCTCCGCGGGCTCGTACACGTCGCGAAAGGCCCCGCGGCCCACGTGCCCGTGCAGAGGCGTGGGGAGGCTGGGCGCCGCCATCTTCCGCCGCTGCGCTTCCCGCGCATGCGCCTGCGCACGCGCTCGGGCGCGGTCCTGAGGGGGACGGCGCACTCGGGATGGAGCGCGGCCTTGGGTCTTGGGCAACTGGGGCTGTCTGTAGAGGCTGCTGAAAATTCTAAATAGACAGTTACCTAATCGGCAGTTACTAATATTTGCTGCCGCCTTTTGAGCATTTATTTCACTTTATGAATCAGTGCTGCATAGTGGGGCACCCTCTTGCTGAGGTGAATGTGGTAATATTGGAAAATTTCTTTTCCTGGTTTGTAAGGATTAAAAAAAAATGTAGTTACGAAATATAAATTTTTTTTGTGGGAGTTTTCAACCGTGAGCTGAACGTTAAGCTTTCAGCCTGAAGATTTTTCTTACTTACTTTTTATTGTATTATGATCCAAAAATTGCTTTACTGATTTTGGATCATCAGTATACTTTTAATTTAAAATTTTATTTTTGTTAGGCAGATCTATAGAAAGAAGGAGAAGCAGAGAAAGGCCTTCCATCTTCTAGTTCACTCCCCAAATGGCTGCAGTGGGCTCTGGACCATCCTCTGCTGCTTTCCCAGGTTCATAAACAAAAAAATTGGATGGGAAGTGGAGCAGCTGGGACATGAGCTGGTGCCCATATGGGAGCCTGGTGCTAGAGAGGGGAGGATTGGCCAATTGAGCCTTTGCGCCAGGCCCAGGAGTACAGCAAGATGCATTTTTTTTTTAAGATTTATTTTTATTATTTATTTATTGGAAAGGTGGATATACAGAGAGGAAGATCTTCCGTCCGATGATTCACTCCCCAAGTGAGCGCAACGGCCGATGCTATGCCGATCCGAAGCCAGGAGCCTCTTCCGGGTCTCCCACGCGGGTGCAGGGTCCCAAAGCCCTGGGCTGTCCTTGACTGCCCTCCCAGGCCACAAGCGGGGAGCTGGATGGGAAGAGGGGCCGCCGGGATTAGAACCGGCGCCCATATGGGATCCCGGGCGTGCAAGGCGAGGACCCCAACCACTGTGCCACCACGCCGGGCCCGCAAGATGCATTTTTAAAAAGGTTTATTTTATTTGTGTTGGAAAGTCAGATATACAGAGAGGAAGAGAGGAAGATCTTCCATCCAATGATTCCCTCCACAAGTGAGTGCAACAGCTAGAGCTGAGCTGATTCAAAGCTAGAAGCCAGGAGCCTCTTCCAGGTCTCCCTCACTGGTGCAGGGTCCCAAGGCTGTGGGCCATCTTTGACTATTTTCCCAGACTACAATCAGGGAGCTGGATGGGAAGTGGGGCTTCTGGGACCTGATCTGGCACCTGTGTGACATCTTGGCATGCGACATGTCCTATTTATTTTTTTTAACAGGGAAAATTTTTTGGGAAGCTTTATTTTTAGTGAAAAAGCAGATTTTGCAGAGAGAAGGGAGAGAGAGTGCTGTTATCTGTGTGTTTACTCTGCAAATGGCTGTATGGCTGTATGGCTGGAGCTGGGGCAGCCAAAAGCCAGGAGCTTCTTTCTGGTCTCCCACATGAGTGCAAGGGCCCCATTACCTGAGCCATTTTCTCCATTCATTTTCAGGTGCACTATTCGGGGCTGGATTGGAAATGGAATAGCCAGGATTTGAACTGGCGCCATATGGGATGTAGGCACTGCAGACAGTGGCTTAACTTACTATACCACAGCCCTGACACCATATCTTCTAATAAACATAAAAATTCTGGACTCATTTCGCTTTATTTATTTATTTATTTATTTATTTATTTATTTTTTCATGCACTTTAATCCCACATAGTGTGCAAGTATCAACGGAAAATTTTTTATATTTGTTCAATTTTTACAAACAGGTAATAGTGATTTGACTGTAATTATGTACCTTGGGCTCATGGAGACTCCTGCCATCCATGAGGGAGGCCTACATGGAGCTCCAGGCTGCTGGCTTTGGCCTTCCATTTGGTAAGTGAACCAATGTGTGGGAGAGCATCTCCATAACTCAGCCTTTCAATTAAATAAACACATCTTGAAAGAAATTTAGTCCACATTTCCAGAAACCTCTTGGAGTACCCTCAGAGATGCTGTGGGGTGATTAATTTTATACGTTCATTTGGTTCGACCAGATCACCCAGACATTTGGCCAAACGTTATTCTGGATATTTCCATTGACATGAGTGGATATTACGGCAGAGTGCACTGTGTGTGGGCCTCATCAAATCAGCTAAGACCTGAACTGAGTAAAGACTGACCTTGCTTGGGCAAGAAGCATCATCTTTTCCAGGATGCCCAGCTTGCTGGATGCCTCAGCAGAGCCCAGCATTGGTCAGCCTCCACGACCACATTTTACAGTTCCTTAAAATAAGTCTGCTTTTCACTCTGTTCACATCTTGTTGCTTCTGTCTCTCTGAAGAACTTTAATGCAATACAGATACGTGGATGTGTTTTTCTTTCTTTTGTTTATTTTTATTGGAAAATCATATATATGGGGAGTAGGAGAGACAAAGGAAGATCTTCTGTCCGTTGATTCACTCCCTAAGTAAGTGACAGCAATGGCTGGAGCTGAGCCAATCCAAAGCCAGGAGCCAGGAGCTTCTTCCGGCTCCTCCATGTGGGTGCAGGGTTCCAAGACTTTGGACTGCCCTCAACTGCTTTCCCAGGCCACAAGAAGGGAGCTAGATGGGAAGCTGGGCTGCCGGGATTAGAACTGGCCCATATGGAATCCCAGCATTCAAAGTGGGGACTTTAGTGGCTAGGCCACTGCGCCGGGCCTGTGTTTTCTTTCTCTTTTGTTGAACACTTAAAGTCCTTTTCAATCTGATCCCTTCTCTATTGAATTTTAGGATTTCTACTTCCCTTCATCCTCTCTTCTTGATTCCAGGAACTCTAGATATTCTCAGATGCTTTTTACTTTTTAAGTATAGTTTATTTTATTTTATTTTATTCTATTCTATTTTATTTTTTGAGAGGCAAAATTACATAAAGAGGAGAGACAGAAGAAGAGATCTTCCACCTGCTGGTTCACTCCCTAGGTGGATGCAATGGCCAGAGCTGAGCCAATCTGAAGACAGAAGCCATGGGTTTCTTCGGGGTCTCCTGGTGGTTTCAGGGTCCCAAAGATATGAACCTTCTGCTACTGTTTCCCAGGCAGTAAACAGGGAGTTGTATCAGAAGAGGAACTGCTGGGAAACAGACCAGTGCCTATGTGGGGATGCAGGTGCCATAGGTGGAGGCTTAGCCTGCCAGGCCTAGCCACTGGCTCTGGTCCTTGTGTCTGTGTTATTACTATTATTATTACTATTATTATTATCTTTCTTGGATTTGTCTACCAGAAACAGATTCTGTTCAGATAGGGAGAAAGCAGAGGACAGGAGAGAAAGGAAAAAGTTGAACTGAGATAAAAGCACAACCAAGTTTGAGGTTGACCTTGCAGGTATTGGTTCTAAAGCAGGAATGACTCTCCAGGTTGTCCAGAAACCAAGAAAAGTGCAGTGTGCTTTGCAAGGGGATATTACCATGGAGACAGCAGCCGTATTTCTTGAGGGCATTTCCTGTTTGTAAACTGTCAGCAGCCAGGGTGATTGAGAACATCAAAGGAAATCTGGGGTGGGCACCTCAGTACCTCCTGCATATATTTTTTAAAATTTCATTTTATGACACAATTTCATAGGCTCTGGGATTTCTTCAACCGCCCCCCCAACCCTCTCCCCATATTGAATTCTTCCATATTGTTACAGTAGTACAGATAATCACCAGTCATGATTCCTTCATTGAGGGCATGGACCATGCAGAGTCCAGTGTCTTATTGTCCAGACAAATTCAACAGTTTCAATGGCAGACCATCCCTGGTCTGAAAGCAGAGCTGGCAGAATATCATCCCCTCCAATGAAAAGCCACTACACAACTTCAACAACAGAAAGAAACATGGAAATTTACAACATCATGAAGTTAATTAACATGGTATTGAGTGACCAATATCTTAGAAAATTCAAGCTCTTAACCATATTCTGTAACTACTTCATTGACATCTCAATTTTAGCAAATACACAGCAGGAGAGACAGAGAAACATCTTCTGTCTGCTGATTCACTCCCCATGTGGCTACAACGGTTGGTGCCTAGCCAATCTGATGCTAGGAGCCAGGAACCTCTTCTGGGTGTTCCATGCAGGTGCAGGGTGCCAAAGCTTTGGGCCTCCTCTATTATTCTCCCAGGCCACAAGCAGAGAGCTGGATGGAAAGTGGGGTTGCTGGGATTAGAACTGGTGCCCATGTGGGATCCTGGCATGTGCAAGGCAAGAACTTTAGCTGCTAGGCTACTGTGCTGGGCCCATTAGTGAAATTTTAAAAACTGATTAGGTTGTTTGTGTCACCTGATAACATTGCAGGAGTCAGCATCCAGGGATAGTCATACACAATAACAATGCAGGGAAAATGAGGATTTTCCTCCTGGAAACATCCCAGGAAAGGACAGCTCCCAGGAACATCCAATATTTTTCTATCCATCCAATAATACTCTGTTGTAATACCCAAAGGGGGTTGGGAATCTTGTTCCCGAGAAGCTTCCTACCCTGTAGTATTCCAGAGAGTGTAAGGGGTAAGAAAGATGGCAGGAACAAGTTTGCCCCATACCCATAAAATCGCCAGTGCCTGCACAGATGGGACACTGGTTTTCTGCTGAACTGCCCACCTGATCTGACAGGTGCACTTGATTAAATTTTGATAACATGTTCATTGCCAATGTCAGTGTCTTGTCTGAACTTTTTTCTTCCTAGGTGACAAGAGCCCCTGATTCAGTCATGATGATAACAAGTTGAAAATATAGATGGACACAAAAATCTGCCCACAGATACTTATAATATAGTTTTATTCATATGTATTAAAATTTATAAATAATCAAACTGTCTTTAACTAGGTTACTAGATGAACTGTAGAACTATGTACAATAGAATATTATTTGATATGAAAACAATGAACTTTTCATTTTAAAATATTATTTTTTTATTTTAAAGGTTTATTTTTAAT